GATGGGTATTAAAGAGGGTATGTTCTGCATGGAGCACTGGGTGATATACACAAACAATGAATCATGGAACACTACATCAAAAACTAATGATATAATGTATGGTGATTAATATAACAAAAAAAACCCTAATGATGTGATGTGTGGTGATTAACATAACATAATAATAAAAAATTAAAAAAATAAAATAAATCCATCTATTATATTAGAATTAAAAAAAAATGTATTACCTGTTTGCTCCAAATCCACATATGATACTTGCTTCTTTGCCTAGCTATCAAAGAAATTGCATGTTTTTTTAAAGATTTTTTTATTATTATTTATTTATTTGAGAGAGAGAGAGAGATTGAGCATGAGATGGGGGGAGAGTCAGAGGGAGAAGCAGGCTCCCTGCTGAGCAGGGACCCCGATGCGGGACTGGATCCCCGGACTCCAGGATAATGACCTGAGCCAAAGACAGCCACTTAACTGACTGATCCACCCAGGTGCCCCAAATTGCATGTTTAATAAAGGTCAGACCTATATTTTGTGTGAAAATGAATGTTGTAGTGATTTTTTTAATCAACATAATAATCTAAGAATGACATTTTAGTAAGCTGGCCCATGTGTGCCTCTTTTTTTTAGAAAAAGAAGTCAGTGCAAAGTAATTGATGGACACGAAATGATTATCTTTTTTCCCATGATTATCTTTAAAGTCAAATACTGTTTGTAGTTCCATAAAATGATTAAGTTGAAACTTATGAAACTGCCAATGTTTAACTCTCTTTGACTTAAAAAAATGAAAATTTCATGTATTTCTATGTAATAACATATGATCTCTTTGCATTCTTGGTTTTCACATGGTATTCTTTTATCTGGATCACACTTTCCCCATTAATTCATATTTTTTGCTCAAGTGTTAGCTCATTTGCTCAGTTCCACTTTGGAAAATCATTTCTTTTTCCTAAATATTATACTCAGATTATTTTCTTCTTTTTTTCCCCAACCATTATTTTTGGTCTATATCCCTTCTATGACAATTATATTATTTATTTCTCTGTATGTCTGTCTTTTACGAGACTTGGTTTTGTTTGCTTCTTGCATACCACATCCATTACAGTATATTTTTGTATGCAAACTTTATGAACAAGAACACGTCTAGGGCTTGAACAATGTGCCTGGGAGGAATAGAAAGTGGTTGCCAGGGGCTTGAGGCTGGGCGATATGGGGAAAGGTTGGTAAAAGAATATAACTTTCAGTTATAAGATGAATAAAGTCTAAGAATCTAATGTATAACATGGTGACTATAGCTAATACTCTTTGTATAAATTTGCTAAGGAAGTAGAACTTTTAAAAATGATAAATATGCAAGGTGATAGATATGGTAATTAATTACATGGAGAGAATCTTTTCACAGTGTATATGTGTTTCAAATCATTATGATGTACATTTTAAACATTTATCAATTTTATTTTTCTCAATAAATCTGAAGAAAATATGCTCTGGGGGCCACACGTACTACTCATTTCATACTGGTAGCATCAGCTTGCATTCAAATTCTGACCCAGCCATTTTACCTACCCAAGATACTTAGGTGACTTGAACCTTAATCTAAGTAAATATAAAATGGGGACAATAATGGGATTTATTGCATAGGATAATTGTGAAGATTGGCTATGACAATACGTTGAAGTGGTTATTTTTAGATTTTCTAGGCTCTCACAATATATTTCCATTATAGATTTTAAAGTGTCATAAGTGGAAAATCACATGTATTGGTTCAGAAAAAAACTGGACAAAATTCTACTGAGGACAAAGGGGAATTTAAAAATTTGAGCTCTCAGAATTTGTCATAATATAACCATCCATGTTTGTCTACTTTGTCTACTCTTTGCTTTTGATTTGCCTTTGCTCCTCTCATCAATGTGTATGACAGTGTTGGGCCCCAGGCAAGTAGATGTAAGGAAATAGTTTAGAAATCTAATCAATGCAACAAGATTTTTTCTTAGAATTTTATTGGAAGATTAAAACAAAAACATTTCCATTGTCATGTGAAAAGGAAAAAATGAGCATTCGTAGTCAAGCGTTTTGTGTTCATTAATGTTGGCTCTTTTCTAGAAATTTGTTCTCAAGAATAGTGTACACATTTAGGGTTAATTCAAAAGAATTAATTGTACCTGCTATGTAACTGATTGTATTATGTCAGTGGCTTCCTATTTTTGCAAAGTGGTAAAACCCATAAAGCATATGGAAGTTCAATTTATAAAGCAAGTGTAAGTGGAGGGATGTACATTAAAAAGGAGCCAGGGTATTGAAACCTATGCATATTCAGTTTACCTGTACATATGTAGAGAGTAATTTAATTAATTAAAATTATTTAAAAATATATACAAAGTCAAAATCTCACCAGTGTTCTTAAGCCTCCATACACAAAAGGAAAACATTTCAACCTTTAGTCTGATGCGTGTATTTAATACAGAAAGTCAGGTAGTGAGATAAATTATTCCTTGTCTAAAAATCAAGACTGCATGTGTCAATAAGGTAAACATGAGTTTTTACAATTTGTTATCAACCTTAATTAAACAAATATATATGTAATAAGATTACACACAGTATTCAGAATACCATCTTGTCTATGCAAATCCCAACAATTCCACGTTTTCATGAAGAAAACACCTTATAAACATGTACTGACTGTATGACAAGCACTTTGAAAAGCTATGACATATAATTCTAAAAATCAGTCCTAAAACTTAAGTATTAGTATCTCCATTTTTTAAGAATAAAATCTAGTGGGACACCTGGGTGGCTCAATCAGTTAAGCAACTGCCTTCAGCTCCGGTCTTGATCCTGGGGTCCTGGGTTGGAGTCCTTCATTTGGCTCCCTGCTCAGTGGGGAGCCTGCTTCTCCCTCTCCACTCCGCCTGCTTGTGCTCGCTCTCTCTCTCTGTCAAATAAATAAATAAAATGTTAAAAAAAAAAAACAAAAAACTAGTAATTGGCAACACCAGGATTCAAAATATCAGAGTTTCAAGTCCCCCCACCCTTCACTCTGGCTATTATGGTAATCCAAAATAAAAGCATTACCCTAATACAATGTAAATTTATTATTGGAGGCATGGATTGAATGAAAATGTTTTATTAGATTATTTAATTAACACTATATGAATATGATTTGACTAGGAATGTGTTATAAAGAAAAATAAATCGATGGGGGCGCCTGGGTGGCTCAGTCGTTAAGCGTCTGCCTTCGGCTCAGGTCATGATCCCGGGGTCCTGGGATCTAGCCCAGCATTGGGCTCCCTGTCCCGCGGGAAGCCTGCTTCTCCCTCTCCCACTCCCCCTGCTTGTGTTCTCTCTCTCGCTGTGTCTCTCTCTGTCAAATAAATAAAACCTTTAAAAAAAAAAAAAGATAAATCGATGTAGAGAAATAGCGTACAAATTACACTGGTTTTATAAGACTTCATGTGGAGAGATATCTATTCTTTGAAGTATAACATTATAAAATTTGGGTCTGTCATCTGGCAACTAAAGATATTCTTGTTTGACACATTGTTAAAAGCACTTTAATTCTAGAAAATTCAAAACAATAACTTCTGTAATCAATTTACTTTGATTTCCAGAATTAATCACAATCTCACTATATGATCTTGACAGCGTATCTCCTTTTTGACAATAATGAACCACTTGACTGAAACATTCATGTCTTGAAAGAAAAGAATTAAATGTGAACTGATGTGTTCATAACTGCATTACTTCACTTTTTTATGATCTGAAATAGGAATTTATTTGATGTGGAACACTTTTGTTATAATCTTTATGGGTCAAAGGAAATCATGTACATTGCCCCTAAGCTCTAAATGCATTATTTCCGCAAATCTATTTGAAAACTCATTAGTTTAGCTAATACTTCAGTAAGACAATAAGTTTACCACAGCTATGCTCCCAAATGAGCAGAGAATATATAACTTCAACAAATCCTAATGGCTGCTATTCAGATAAGGAAGGGAGAAGGAAAAAAGGAAGAAAGGGGGAAATCAGGCCTAGAGGATGGGAGGAAATCTTGATTTATAGCAGCAGTATTTTGAGAATTTCTAACGAACTTAACTGATAGAAATCATTTCAGCCCCCAACAAGAATTGATTATGTAATATCAAAACACTCTTTTGAAAGGGGCAAGTAAACTTATTTTTAACCTGAGAAAATATTTTAACATTCTCCCCAAATTGAGTTACCCTTGCAATATATACAAAAATTTTGGTAAAGCAATTTTGATAAAAGCTAATACTAATAATGATAATAATCTTGATAACATTAATTATATTCCTGAATCAAAAACCAAGCAACCTGTTTCTATTTTCCCTAGGTAGTTCAGACCATCAGTGCAGTGGATAGAGATGAATCCATAGAAGATCACCACTTTTACTTTAATCTACCTGTGGAAGACACAAAGAACTCAAGTTTCATAATCATAGATAATGAAGGTAATGCCATTCACTCATGATGGCTTTTGATCCTTTCTTTGAGAAGTGTGCTTGATTTTAAGGGGATTTATAATGTTGCTTTTTATAGGGTTCTTGCAATATGATAATGTTGAGAAATAGAACAGAGTGGCAGTGAAAATGGTAAACAAAACCCGAAGTCAAGTTCTGAAAATACTAGCCCCATTTCTCAGTGGGTTTCTTTAAATGAGAAACACTTTATCAAGTCACCAGTGGCTACAAGACCTTGCAAAACCTGAATGACCCTGCAGATATAATGGCTGTGCAGACACAGTTGTTCCTTTCATGTCCTTGTAAAACTCAAACTTCAATCTATGGGAAAGAAAATGATACATACTTACAGTCATGTTAGCTGGATTGATTCACAGATATTTGGAGTCATTAATTAGAAGCTATAAATATATAAAATTGGTTTAAGATTATTCTCTTTCCTTCAAAATGAAATGATTATATCAATCTAAGGACACAGTGTGCCAAAGGATTTTGTCTGCAGAGACAGACTATCTTCTCCTTCCATACAGAAGTGGATTGACTTTGCATAAAACCACTCCGTTCTTTTTTCTTTCATGTCAGTAAAAGATATTCTTGTCATAATATGAATCTATTTTAATTTTACTTTATATCTTAAAGATAAGAAACACCTTAGGATTTATTACTCAAGTATCCATAGCCAAACACCTGCAGATGTCCTTCCTTACATCTGATTTTAGGCTTTGATCTATGGAAGATCTTTTGTGGGAGCATAAATGCAGGCATGTTCTCTCCCTTTTCTCCTTGTCAAATTTCTCCATGAAGGAAACTCAACTAAACTTAGGATAAAAATGCAAATATCAGTAGAAGAAATAAACTAAACTTAAATTTGTTTATATTAGTATAAGTCACTGGGGTAAAATAAGTATATTAAAACAAAGAAAATAATTAATTTGGTTTAATGTTTGTGATTAAGAATAATCTGATAAAATATGAATTGAAAAATGTAAACTCTCTTACCTTTTCAATCTGCCTAGTAAATAAAATCACAAGTTTTATAGGTTCCAAAGCATGACGGAGAATTCGTCTTAAACGATGATTTGGGATAAGTGGTTGGCAGGCACACATTTTCAAACACTCCATTTATTTGCATTTTACTGTTCGTGTGTTCTAAGTTTTGATTACTACAGAAAATATTTTGGGGGATGGCAATAAAAAAAAAGAGGGGGGAAATATAGGACTCAGACGCAAGAAATTGCACCAAAAAAGGTTACTTGGAATATTTTGGGATTCAGGGGAAAACAACTTCAAAAGTGTCGAAGCATATATTGTTCATCTTTGTTAATTTTTTAAATGTTCTGTCTAGAAGAGTGATCAGTGCTACTGAGGTTTAACTATTATCTGAATTTTAAATAGAAAATGGGTTAATAATGTCAAAGTAAAATGAAACATCCCAATAGAATTTTTCCTACCAAATGAAACTAATCCTTCTGTCTCATTAATAAATGCATGATTTGAGACCACTTGCTCTGATATTGGTCGATGACTTTGAAAATCTTGTGCATTTATAGTATTTGTGAAAAGCATGAGTTTCTATTAGAAAAAGCACTGTCATGAGTAAAGAACCCAAATGAAACTCATACTGTCATCATAAATTTAATAGTAGCCTCTATAAAATATTGACATCTGTTTAAAAAGCTGTTTTCTATGTTCCACAGCTAACGTTTTCTATCTTTATCAAAGACATTTTGGAATGGATTCATGTAATTCGTCTAATTATGTAATTAGGGTTAAGGCAATGCCAAATCAATAATGACTTTCTGAGTGGATCTTTTGACTTTTTATCAGAAATTTCTTCTTTATTACTTAAACTTACATGATATATCTATACATTGCTCTAGTGCATGTAACTGGTATGCATTTCTTTTATATTATTGAAAAATTATGCACATGGGTTTTTGTTTTAGATAACACAGCTGTAATTTTGACCAATAGAACTGGTTTTAGCGTTCAGGAAGAGCCTGTCTTCTACATGTCTGTCCTAATTGCTGACAATGGAATCCCGTCACTTACAAGTACAAACACCCTTACCATACACATCTGTGACTGTGATGACTCAGGCAGTACACACACCTGCAGGAATAAGGACCTTACACTTGCCATGGGATTCAGAACAGAAGTCATACTTGCTATTTTGATAAGCATCATGATGATATTTGGTAAGTAGTGCTGAACTGAACCCGTCTTCATTTCCTGGAAATAATGTGATAAATATAAAAAATAGTTAATTCTATTATCACAGCATGGTATGGGCGTGTGTGTGTGTGTGTGTGTGTGTGTGTGTAATTGCTCTTCTGAATATGTTGCAATTCTTAAACCAGTGGAGTAAATGAAAAATAAGAGTGACCCTGCGGGGCTGGATCTCACAACTCCGAGATCATGACCTGAGCAGAGATCAGGAGTCGGCCACTTAACCAACTCAGCCACCCAGGTGCCCCAAACTCCGTTTTTTTGCTTGTTTGATTGTTTGTTTGTCTGTTGTTGTTGTTTTTAGAAGCAGATGTTATATTCACTTTACAGACGAGGCAAATGAACCCCAAAAAGTCAGGCTTCCAAGACTACAAATAATTCATTTTGTGTAACCTTTTCTCTTTCTTTAACATACCAGTATATATAATCTAAACCCTCTCTTGCTTCCCTTATAACTTCATGTCAAAAGTCAACACCACTTTATTGAGTGTTGAGAACAATTATATCAGCCACGGGTTCTATAATCCCAAACTCACTGCTCAAAATGGCATCTATGTTTCAGGGATTGCTTTGCCCTCACTCTTCTATTATTTCTCAAAGCTTCAAAAAATCATGCATTCCTCTTTACCATCCAAATTACCATTCTTTCCTACCCAGCCTCAGCTTTTAAGATAATTTTTAATGGTCTTTGATCCTAAAACCGAATATGGAGCTACATAGCTGGATATCAGAATCAAGTGTAGTAAAAACAGTGTTGTGTTTGAAGGGTGACAAGTACTGATTTACTCATAGGGACAGACCTAAACCAAGTCCAAAAGCCCCATGAGTAAACCAAGGACAGCCTCACAGTCAGGGCATGAGTAAGATTTAGATGGTGGGAAGTATGGGTCAAGCAATAGTCAGTAGTTTTCTTTGAAAATGTCATGAATACTCTCTCCAATTCATAGATTGAAAAAATTATTTATTAGTTCCCTTTCTATATCAACCACATATCTTAGCTGAGTTTCACAGTACCTGGATTCAAACTCAATGACCTCATTTCAAGAACACTATTCCAATTTTTTAAAAGGTAAGATTTATATAAGGTATTGCCTAATGTATTTCTCTTTATGATAATATTAATAACATCACTTCATGTTTGTTTCAATTCCTATAGGTGAAATTCTGAATAGTTTAAAGGCTATGAAAGGGTTGGCTATTCTTGATACACACACACACATGCACAATTTTCTCTAAAAATAGAAAAAAAGGTGCTTTGAAATTACTGTTTTTATGTGATATTAAAATTATCTTATGTAATAAATATTGATTGTGGGCGTACCAGTGTTATGATTTTAAAAAATCATAGTTTGGGCTTTCTGAAATTAATGTGGTATCACTGAGCACAGGTTCTAAACCAACTATCTGGTGGCATATACTTTGTAGTCAATGAATATTAACGTAGAAAATCATTATGCCACAGAATTAGTCTCAGTGGGGAATTTCAAACTGCTCTGTTGTGCTTAGCTTCTCTTAACGTGGATTATTGGTTACTAAAATTGACAAATGCATATAGATTGAAAAATGTTCCCTTATGCTATTTTCTTTTTCTGTTTTCAATATATAAAAAATACGATTTTAAATTGATGATCATCACAAAACAGTTCACTTTTATTTTTATGATGTTTTTCTGCTCTAAATCATCAGCCAGAAATATTGTTACACTGCCTTATGTCATTCTGCATGACCCTTTAGTAAATTTTCAACAGCAAATACTGTAGTTAAATTTTGGGGATTGAAAAGTTACACGAGGATATTCCACTGTGCAGGGAATGATGTCACCAATCCCTGCATTGTTCAAGGCTCAGCTGTTTGTTTTCTTTTGTCTTATAATCATAAAATCTAAACTCATGTCTTGAGCTTTTAACAAAAGCAAGGATTGTAAAGTTTATTATAAATAATGGGCGCCTGGGTGGCTCAGATGGTTAAGCCTCTGCCTTCGGCTCAGGTCATGATCCCAGCGTCCTGGGATCGAGTCCCGCAACCGGCTCCCTGCTCCTTGGGAGCCTGCTTCTCCCTCTGCCTCTCTCTCTCTCTGTGTCTCTCATGAATAAATAAATAAAATCTTAAAAAAAAAAAATAAAAATAAATAAATAAATAATATGTAATATTGATGAATATAAACTTATATTAACACATATTATACTTATTATACTATGTTAATTAATGTCCTCGTACGCTTTCTTTGTCAGGGTTTGTTTTTTTGATCTTAGGACTGAAACAGCGAAGAAAGCAGACTCTCTTTCCAGAGAAAGGTGAAGACTTCCGAGAGAATATATTCAGATACGACGATGAAGGGGGAGGAGAAGAAGATACAGAGGCTTTTGATATTGCGGAGCTGAGGAGTAGCACCATCTTGCGGGAACGCCAGACACGGAAAACCGCTCCCGCAGAGATCAGGAGTCTGTACCGCCAGTCCTTACAGGTTGGCCCAGACAGCGCCATCTTCCGGAAATTCATTCTAGAAAAGCTCGAAGAAGCTAATACTGATCCTTGTGCCCCTCCTTTTGACTCCCTCCAGACCTACGCTTTTGAGGGAACAGGGTCATTAGCTGGATCTCTGAGCTCCTTAGGATCAGCAGTCTCTGATCAGGATGAAAATTATGATTACCTTAACGAGTTGGGACCTCGCTTTAAAAGATTAGCATGCATGTTTGGTTCTGCTATGCCGTCAAATAATTAGAGCTTTTTTTATTTTTAAAATTTTAAAAATGCTAATATGTGTTTGGGCAAATTGGTAGTCTCTTAGTTAAGAGTGGTTTCCAGTTCTCGGTGTAGGGGAGAAAAGTTGTAGCGTCTTCGAATTTCCTGGGAGTAAATACCCCTTGGTTATTTCAAGCTACCCACATGTTGTCCCCGAATACAGATGTGGAGTGATGCTAACCACCAGCTCTCTGCAGGCCAACTCTGGCATGTAACTGAAATATTCCTCTAGCATTTTTTTTCACTACAATCCAATACAAAGCCTCAAAATTTTTGAATGTTTAATGTGAGAAAGGCCCTCAACTAGATCACCTTAATATTATTTCATTTATCCTTTTTTTTTTTTTAATCTTACCAAGTGAGAGTAAAGTGTTTATGTGTTTTAAGTTCCTGATGCTACATGGAGATAACACCTAGTAGAATCTGGGTGATTATATAAAATTTTCAAAAACTGTTTCTTTTTTATGCATAAGCAAGTTTCTGGCTGAGATTCTATGATTCACAACAGTTTGATATTTTAAAATCATTGTCAAGACCATACTTGAAAACTGATCTCAAATTTAGACAGATTCTTGGTCTATGTTAATTAATCAAAGATACAGTATAGATTTGTATTGTCTTTGGTATTACAGATTTGTATAAAAAAGGAAGTATGAAAATATGTCTGGGAGATTTTTATGTCATTTTTATATGTAACCAATCACATCTTTATCATGTCACAATGCAATAACAAAATACATGTCAAGGTTTACTCAACATTAAATTTAAACTTTATGATAATTGTGGAAAGCGTGAAAAATTTTAAGTAAATTTTTATTGCCACTAAAAATGATAGCAATAAATGAAAGAAGTATTTGATTCAAAGTTGAATTAATATTCATCCAAAATATTTTGATCACCCTTACTGATTCTTACCATGCATAGAATAAAACATTATAAAATTCTCAGCATTTCCTTTTTATTAAGAACTTAGACCAGAACTGATTCTTCAGTGTCATTTTTTTATTATGGGATATAAAATTAGGTGCAATAGTTACTTTTATTGTAACATTATGAAGGAAGTATGCTAAGCTGCTGGACATGATAAAATCCATGGTAACATCCAGATAACAAGCTTTATGATAACATCAGATAATAAGATAATAAAACCCTTTAATTTTAATCAGCATTTTAAGAGCGATCCTTATTATTTTATCCAAATCAAGATGGAATTCAAAATTCATAGGTTGAACAGAAAGAAAATGGTGAATACAGTGTCCTCAAAATTGTTTTATATGTTCATTTCTTATTAGCAGCATGTGAAAATGAGCTGAACCAAATTGACCATATATATTTAGGTAAAATATTTTGAATAATTTTTAGCTAAAGATAGTGGATTTGAATAGCTACAGTATTGTTTTCCTCTGTACTTGGAAACATAAACACCACACCATGTAATAGAAGCAAGGTTTTCCATCAATATCAATTCAGATACCATTATGTCAGCAACATAGGTATCATCACCTTACAAAAGCCCAAGACTGGAAATACAACAATTTAGAAGGATATTAAAAGTAGATGAGAAGTCATAAGTCATAGAAAATCTTTATGAATTCATATCATCATTTACTTAGGGAAGAGTGTGAATACTAAACAAAACAAAATGTTAAAAGAAAAAACTTGCTAATAAAATAGAAATGTATGAGTTGAGAGAACATTTCTATTTCTATCATATTGACATAAAAATTGAAAGGGTATAATTGGGGATATTTTCAGGAATTATTCCATAAAGGATTGTTCCCCGTATTTAAAAGATAGTGTTACATAATCTTCGTTGAAGAATTGGAAAGTACGATAAACAACAGGTAAATCAATCCATGGAAGATAGATGAGAAAAACAGAAATAGGGTTTTCTGAGGATCCAGTGCGTTCTGTCATGGGACAGAACAACCTATCAATTTGGATGAACACTTCAAAAAATGACCATCTGCATCAACGGGGTTTCATGTTTGAGCCCTGTGGCACTAAGCAGATGTGTTAAAATAAATTCTGGTTTAGTTGATGATGGGATTGTTAATTATAGGTACATAGGAAAAGAACATACATGGTTGCATATCTATTTGCTAGTCTAAAAAATGTCCTTTTAAACTATATCAAAAAATACTATCTGATTCTTGTACAGAAGTTGCAATTTCCTTGAAATTATACTCGGTCACATTTCAATCACACTTGACCTTTTTGTAGTCACCTGGGTGTTGCAAGAACATAGCTGTATCCTAAGCTAAAGACATGGCATTAAGATCTCATTTTTGTAAATTTTCATAAAGGCTAAATCAATGCAGATATTTATGAAAATAGCACAGCTTCACATTAATACCTGCGGTGCTTAAATATTACCCTTCGTTAACTCACAGGACATAAGGAAAAAATAATTTTAAAAGTGTTTTTGACACTGACCAGAAGCTGTGCAAACTGTCTGGGATTTGGCCAAGGTGGGCATCAGAAAGATCAATGCAAATGTATGTAAAAACTGAATAGTATAAAACATTTTCATGATGTTACTTTCAAGTTCCAGCTAATCAATAATCTGTATACAACAACATATCAAATCAATTTGGAATTTCATATATTTTAAATAATTCAAAAATCAATTCTTATCTAAATCAGAAGCAAAATACAAAAAAGTAAACATAATTTTAGTGTCCTTAAAAATTTGTGAGCATATGAAAATAGTTTACAGAACTATTTCATGTCATTCTTTTGTGCTTATTCATTTTAATATTTAAACGTGATATGTTCTATTGAGTTCTGCAGTGCTAAGTGATTTATCTCAGCTACAAATAAGGCTGCACATGTAAAATAACTCATATCCATGATTACATAGAGGTCCAAATCTGTAGAATGTTTTGTCTAGAAAAGGGAGTGGAGCTGATGTATGTATTCACATGTTTCCATAATATCTCATTTACATGCTAGTGAGAATAAATGGTCTATGAAGTACATTTTTAATTATTTTCCAGTTGCTAACATTTCTTTGTTGTGTAAACTTTGATGAATTATTTAAAATGTTCTCTTTTGGTACCTTAATTTGTACAGTAAGGATATTAAAAATAGATAATCAGATTTTCATAGGAATTAATAAAAATAATACATATAAAGAATGAATTATGCCTCATGTAGAGAATGTATGACATTTTATCTGTTATTGTTAACATAACAATTATTGTGACATTATTAAGTTTATCTTTAGAAATGCTCATAGACCAAGCTCATTCCTCTACAATTAATGTGGACAAGAAGAAAATGAATTAATGCAGGACAATAATTAGCTTGCTTTTACTTACTGCCTCCCCACCTTGACCCTTCCTGGGTAATGTTCCATTATTACCAAAGGAAAAAATTAATTGCTCAAGTTATGCATTATGTATGAGATGTTCTGATTGAAAGTCACTCCCCTATGACATTTATTTGGGGGAAAAACTCTGCTAAGTAATAACCACAGATCATGGCAACTTTATGTAGGTATGGGTATTTTAGGGAAAAAAACTCTCAAAAAAGAAAGGGGTTTGCTCAATTAGTCACTAATGCACAAATGAAATTATTTCTATGTTATATTAGGTTTACATGGAAGAAATAAAACAAATATGCTAACAGCTCCATAAGAAAGCTTTCAAACCTGTTGTTGATAACATCTGATGCCCAAAGTTCTAATTTTATATTAGGAATTTAAAATTAAATTACAAAACAGATTGTTCTCATCACCTCTGACAATACAAAATGAAAATCTGCACCCTTGGCTTTTACCTACATTGTCCTATCCTCTCTCTTTTTAAAAAACAATAATTAAGAATACATTGCCATATGTTCTCTGCTGAGTAAATTTTTATCCTCTTGTCTTTTTTATCCAATCTTAGGGCTCAGGCAAGTTCTAGGCAATTGTCCAGCTTATACCGACACCTTGGTTTTCAGATACTTCTTTCTTATTCCAGATGACCTCTACATTATTCTGGAAGCTTCCTCTGCAGCACTAATTACCTAATTTTAACTCTATTAAAACTTAACACATATCTGCACTTGACATATTCAGTTTACATAGAGAGAATTTCACCCGATTATTTGAAAATGGTTTAAGTTTGACTAAATGTATAAATTAAATTAGAAGTGGATAAATCACATAGTATATTTATCCATAGCAATTTATCATTATCACACATTGTTTAATAATAACACAGTTTTTAAGAGCAAAAATTTCTTTTTTATAAAATAGTGTCTACAGTCATGGTACTTTATTTTTGTGTAAATACCTGAAAGTGAAATCTTACCAAGGCACAGGCTAAGAAAAATTGTGAACTGTAAAAATTCTAAGTATTTTTCCCATCGGGTTCACTCATTCTTAATAAGTAAATTAACAAACATTGAAGATTTTATCCACTGGTAGTATCTAGGGAGCATCTCTAAGTGGAGTGCTATGTAATAAACCCTGAATAGAATCTCAGCAAAGGAAGTATCAGGGTCTTAGCCTGAAAAATACCGGCAAGGAACACTTGGAATTGAAGGAAGCAGATGTGACCAGAATGACTGAGTACTGCTAACGTGAGACTTGGTGCTGAGCCCAGCTCCCTCCGTGCTTCACAAGGAATATCTGCCTCTTAGCCGTCTTCCCATAGTTATGCTACTGGCCAAAAAGAGGAAAATATTAATGATGGGAGGATTTGTATTCTTTCAAATGTTTCTGAATATAGCAAACAAAGCAGTTCCCCTAAATCTCTCTCACTCTTTTTGTTTTAAGCACCTGTATTTCTAGGTCCTATTCTCAGTGGTTTTCTTTTTTTTCTTTTCTTTTTTTAATGTGTTATCTCATTTAATCATCTATTGTGTGAGGGAGGCACTGGTGTTATTCCCAGGATACTAACAAGGAAATTGAGACAAAGAGACAAAGAGACACAAGGCAAATTGAGACAAAGAGACACAAATTACCTCAGTAATTTGCCTGAAGTCATATATGTAATAAGTAGTAATAACGCACACCTAGGCAAGCTAGTTCTAGATTCCAGGCTTTTATCCATTACACCATGCTGTCTGTCCATTTACCGCAGCTCCTTAGGTTATTAACCTTGGGGCTTTTTAATATGACATATTTTTCTGTCTCCATAGTAACAATCCTCCCATAAAGGGTATTCAAACAAATAATTGTGTGCAATTTTTATATCATAATTAGCAAATAAATGATGAGCACAAGAAATAGAAGATTAAGGCAAGAAAATATATATTTTTTTAAACCCCACTAAGTTCACATTGGAGAACTCACAGCATTTGCCATTTGTTTGCATTGCTTTCATTACATCCTCCTGCTTCTTCCTTGGATCTTCCTTCTATTTGGCATTTTCTGTATCATATATCACTTACACTAAAATGTGCTTGATTTTTTTGTCTTTTTTTCCATCATTTAATCATCAACTAGAGACAGGGATTAGCTGTTTTTGAGCAATGATTTTTGAGATTCGTGGGGACAGAACAGAGCACTGAGACTCACAGGGCTGGTGAATGATTTGAATGCGGAGGCAGCAGAAAGTAAGCTTACATTAATATCAGACCTGGTTCCCTGATTTATCTTTCAACAGTGATCTGTGTTCTAGGAACGAAAGCAAGATAATAAGCCCGACATGTTCCTTTAACTTTTCCCTTCTGATATCAGACTGCATGGTCTCTATCTTATCAAGGGGTGTAATATTCCTTGATTAAAGGAGACAGCACTGGCCAACAGATGACCCCAAATACCAGGATAATAGGCACCATCACTAGTGTACCTCTATCGATTCTTCTAGCATGCGTCCACTTCACTTAGGATAAAAACAAAGTGGAGGTTCCCTTTGGTTCCCAGCAATTCATGGTATCAAGTGAACACATTGGGAAGCACATTAATCACCCGATTTTTTGCACATCTGAACTGTAACTGAGTTATTTTTGACCTTCTGACAAATATATTTTAATGAGGTATTGATTTTTAAGGTGGCCGACACAGAACAGTACAAGTCGATTTAATAATATGCATTTTTAACATGAAATTCCTTGTTTAAGAATGTCTTCTGCTCAAATTAGGGTCAAATCAGGCAAATCTTTAAAATCATAAACCCAGCGAGGGTTCAAACAAGAAAGAGAAAATAAATCAGGAGCCGTAGATCCAGACCCCTTTTAAAAGGGCAACTATGCTTACGAGATGGCTTTCCATGCTCTTTCTACTTTTCTTGGTGGAAAGCAAGTACTCTGAAATCCTTTCACTGTAATATTTTTAGAGAAAATATTAGAACATGGGGGCCAGTTTGTAACATGGAATCACTAAGGTATTCCTTACTAGGCAATTAAAATGGCTTGTTCCTGCTACTAACCTGAGGTTTGACTCTTATCTGGCAAAAGCAAGGTTGACAAGTCATAAGCAAGATCTGCTCCAGCCGTAGGTGCATTCTACCCATTTTGATTTAGATGGAAGACTGCCCTTCTGTATTTTGTGCCAAGGCAAACATTACCATTATCAACTCAGAGGTAGGGAATATAATTGAATATGTATAAGGAAGTAGCACCAACCGACACAGAATTGTATAACTTTATATTACATTAAAATCCTAAATTTCTTATGGATTCTAATTTTGTTTTCCTATTGGTTTGCAACATTAATAAACATTAATAGATTTATTGAACTGTATAGCAATAACTAGAACTGAAGTCATAGTTTAGACTTTTATGAGTGAATCATCCTAGAGTATTTAACATTCCAGATTGCAGAAGGTTTCTGCCCTTGTAAATCATTTGCTACTTTATAATGTGTTCTCTTTTCTAATTAAATTGATTGCACAAAGCTGGTAGAACCTTGGGATTTGAACTCAAAGAGCATTATGGAGGCAGAGCTATTCATTTCTGAGCTGGTTCTTGTTTTGTCACATACCAAACTATTCTAAAAGCCAGATGCTATTTTCTATGGCATGTCTGCTACTCCCTAAGGTAGATTTCAGCCCCCAATTTTCCCTTCCCTAATCATTTCCATTTATTTTTATACTGTATATAACATTAAGTAAATCAGAGTATTCCATTATGACCTCTAACTGCTTTTCTGAAGAGTAGGCTTCTTAAATGTATTAAATATGTTAAACATGGCAACAGTCCCACTGAGAGACATAGGGATCTCAACAACATCATCACCTTTATAAAGCAATTGAAGATGCTTCTCTTTTTCCAGGCAGTTCTTTAATTCAAGTAGAAGTGATCTGAGATGTGGCTTTTATAATTAGCCTTTGCCTTAAGACATTGCCCCAGAAGAGAAAAGATCAGAATAATAATGAAATTTTAAATAACATACCTACACTGCTTTGCATTAATAATAGAAGAGCCAAGGGATATTGGTTGGAATACTCAAGTATTTAGTAGATATCTTTTGGGGAAATATAGTGTATGGTTAGCATTGTTAATCTTTTCCAAAGTTAAATCTCAGACTGTTAAACAACTGTTAAACTACTTGTAAGTCAGTATGTCCCTAAAGTGTCCCTCAACTACTAAAAATATCAAGAGGTGAAAATGCAAATTTTAGAAGATATTTTGCTTCCTAAGCAATTACTTTCATCAAATGATCCACTTTAAAAATACCATTAAATATCTTTAAAATGTGACCTCTATATGATTGATCCCTATACCGTTTCATTTTTAGGATGATTTGGTTCTAAAATACTAAGTCACACACACACACACACACACACACACACACACTTACCCTAAGTACTACACCAAGCTGTGCAATGTAAAATACTGTTACAAATATATAATAGGCTGCAGAAGTCACACCCTAAGATAGTGACAATCTATTCTGCTATATTCTCATCCTAGGCTCTTTCTAATGACACGAAGCCATCTCACTTATTCAACTTCCATTTTTAATCCCAAACAGCAAATATTTATTGAGTACCCACTACATGGCACGCATTTTAGCAGATGTTGAGAAAATCAGGGAGAATAACACATGG